GCGCCTCCCCCCATTGGACGCTCGCTCCTTCTGTCTGGGCTCCCGGGAGAGCCGCGCGCTCTCTCCCGCGCCCGCGCCTCCCCCGCCTTGGCTCCTCTTTTTTTTCCCCAGCCTGCAGGGCGCGTGCGCGTCTGCTCTGGGGGCGGGGGGGGGGGCGCGCCTCCGCTGTGAGTTGGGTCTGCTTTGCGCCCGTCGACGGGCTGTGTGGGAATTGCAACGGAGGCTGTGCAAGCTGGGGTCGGACTCACGATGTGCATTCTATACATTTATATTAAGGCGCATTCTTTTCCTGGAGGTGGCAGCCCATTAAAAAAAAAATCAGTCTCAGGAGTTTTAATTGATAAATCATTTCTTGACTTTTGTGTAGGACAAGCAGAGCTTAGAAACAGTTTGTTGGTGGTTTTGTTTAAACTGTCATAATTCCCCAGCATGTTTTCCACACTGGCGCACTCATTTGGGAGATTTGAGTCTCCCGCAGTCACACTTTGTTGCAGAACTCACGCAGAACTAGAACCTCCCGTCTAATTCTTTGATGGCATAGTTACCTGCAGAATTATAAAGAAGGTCTCCAGGTTCCAGCGCTTGCCATGCCGTGCATAGTCTTGTATGTGCATTATGTGCACCGTCTTGTATGTGCACCGCCTTGTCGGCGGTGGCTCCTTGCCTTTGGAACAATCTCCCTCCTGAGATCCGCGCGGCCCCTACACTGGGTACATTTAGAACTCAACTTAAAACATGGCTTTTTGTCCAGGCCTTCCCTCCTGCCAGCATTTAATCTAATTTAATTTAATTTAATCTTTCTCCCTTATCTACCTATCATTTATTATTTTGGTATGTTTTGTTAATACTTGATGTTTATGGATTAATGTATACAGTATATGTTGTTGTTAGCCGCTCAGAGTGGTATAAATATACCAGATGGGCGGGATATAAATCAAATAAATAAATAAATAAATAAATAAATAAGTAAATAAATAAATAAACAAACAAATAAATAAATAATTTGCCATCAAGTCAATTCTGAGTTATGGACAACCATTTCAGGGTTTTCTAGGCTGAAGAGTACTCAGAAGTGGCTTCCCATCCCCTTCTTCTTGGAGGCATCTTGGGACTGCACAGCTTGCCCCTGGCCACAGAAAATGGCTGTACTCACAGGAGGCACAGTGGGGAATCGAACTCCGGAACTCGAAATCTGTGCCACCTTACACCTAAACTACTGAGGTATCCAGCCTGCTGTGTGCATTATAAGACAAAAAAAAAAGTGACTGGGACAAAACCTGTCCCAACAAATTACTGTTTCTTGCCATAGTGGTAGCCTTGTGCCCCGTCAATTCAAGGTCCCTGAACGTCCATACTGTTGTTCGGTAAGGGGGTGGTGAACATTGGAATTCTCAGTGCATGAGGTTGATAGTGGAATTTTATAGATACTGTACATTGTTAAACTGTAAACCTGCTCCTAACATTCAGTCCCTTGGAATTGCCTTCGGGTCAGGAAATCCTTAGAATTCACTCAATGCAGATTTTGGGTGAGGTCTGAGGATGCACCAGAAGAAGAATATTGTGTGCTGTGTGTGTTGTAAAATGCACAGACATTTTACAACACACACAGTCCTTCCCTGATAAGTTGATAGGTGCAAATTTTATAAGTTCGTTTTTCAAATTAAAACAATGTTTCTTGATTCATTAGGTTCCCCTTTTCATTCATTAAAAGTTAAATCAAACAGACTAGTTGACAAATCTGTGCAGCCTTGTGCTTTTTGCATGCTCTGAGCTCTTAAATTGTATTCATAATCAGGCCTATTGGAGAGTTGCAGATGGCTCTGTGTGAAGGAAAGTGTTTCTGACCCTTCTGTCTCAGAGCCATTGTGCACTATATACACTACAGACAGCTAAATAAGATGTGCCTGATATCTTTATCTTTAGACTGGCAGCCTGCTTGTTTACACTGATACAAATGAAGCATACATTAGGAAAACTATCACTCTTCAATCAGAGTTACCTCCAGTTCATTTGCATTTGGGTGCACCAGATTGGATAACAATTCTTATACTGTGATGTTTCTCGTTTTTTTCTTTTCTTAGATTAATATTAAAAGCAATTACAAGAACATTTGCAACTACGGAGCTGCTAGATCCAAGTGAGACCCCCCCCCCGATCCCTACCCCCCCCCCCGATCCCTCCAATTATCTCTGCAGGCTGATAATACATAATTCAGGTAAATTGTTATTGGCTAAAATAAAATAAAACCCACCGGCAAATATACAGGGTTAAAATATACTTTCAGCTGGTCATAAGCAGACATTAAATAAAACTTCCCCTTTCCATAAAGGAAACACCTGCTAAAGAACACATTATTTGTCCTCTGGCAAAGTGGCAAAGACACTGTCAAGCTGGACTCAACGGTAAGAGAATTTCACAGCTTATGTGTGGCCTTGTGCCTCTCTTGTACTGGGACACAGAGAATGGCCTCTCCAGTAGAACGTAGAAGTACTGTAATGTAGAAATAATACTTGTAGAATTAGACAAGCTGATGTTGCCTGGAATCATTGCAACAATGCAAAGACTTAAACCTTGATGCTCAGATTAATTTTATATGATTGGGAATGATTGTCTGTTTTCATTCTGGAATTAAAAAAAATAAATGCCAGTTGTGACAGACTTCTGTTGTTGTTGCTTTCTTCCCTTGGAGGTCTATAAAATTCTGTAGGACTCTTAGAAAGAGGTTCAGGTATCAGATTCCCAGACCTGAAAGCAAATGCAATAATTTCAATCCACTTGTAAAGCTCATTAGACTTATTTGCTGAGCCTTGGTAACTTATAAGGTTTTGGGACCATTTGTAGATGGTTAGGGTGCTACTTATTAAGGGTGCTACTGGTTATGCATAGCTGGAAACATTTTATGCTGTTTGTCATATTTGCAGTACTTATCTAAGATCCAAGACCTTTGTTTTATTACAATATTAGAACAACTAATTATTTACTAGTTACATTTCTGTCTCACCTTGCCTCTATAGTCAGTATTTTATTTTATTTTATTGTATTGTATTTTATTTTATTTTATTTTATTGGATTTGTACCCCACCCATCTAGTGCCAAGTCACTACTGTTGGCAGCTATAACAAAGTAACATAAATGAATAAACAGAATTAAATCAATAAGCATGCAACAGAGATGCTCATGGTTCTCCCTTAGAACAATCCTAGGTCAGGTCAGACTAAGAGACTGGCCCAAGGCTATCCAGTGAATATTTTTAACTCTCTGGGTATGAAAAGTTTAATTTCCTACATTGCATTCCAGATGAAATGGGCAGTTTTGCAGTTCAGAGCAGAGTTGCCTTAAGCTGTAAAGGACATGTGATGGTCCTCTGATATTCTGAAGCTTTGCAAGTTGCACATTGCTTGTCTTTGATGATTGTTCATTGGAAGGCAACAAGATTCCTTTGCACATTGATCATTCAGACATAGCAGCTTTAAAAAAAATGTCCCTGCAGGAATAATGTTTTATAATTTAGTAGTATATATGTGAAACTACTCTTCTTGTCTCTTTCTACTCAGCACACTTTCATTATTGCATCTGTGAGTCTGTGTTCTTTGTATCCTAACAGAATTTATTGTTTCACTATATCTGGCTGTACAGCTTGATAAAGCAGAGACATTTTACTTTAATCACACCATACAAGATGGGGAGGTCATTAGTGAAAGTGATGGTCCATGGATTCAAGACCAACAAAGTATTTATTCGAGTACAATACATAATTAGCTTACAGTATTCAATGTCATGCAGTGAGGTGATGGCAACTGGGTTCAATAGCTTTAGAAAGGGATTAGACAAATCCGGGAAGGGTACCTCTATCAACAGCTTTGAGCAGCAGCTGCTGCATAGCACTTCATGGTTCAAAGGCATCTCTCTAAGTATCAGTTGCTCGGAGACAGAAAGAATGAGGCTTGTTGACTTTATCCCCTGCTTGTAGCATATTCTCTAACTGGCCAATGCTGGAAACACCAGGCCGAAAGGGACAAGATTCCAAACCGAACAAGCAAGGCTCTTATATAATAATAATCATCACCATCATTTTAGAACTGCAGATGGACCCTATGGATTATTGAGTCCATCCCTTAACAAGGAGGCACCATGCGGAATTGAACTCCCAACCTCTGACTTCACATGTTTGTGGCAGAGCTTGGAAACATTACTTCTTTTGACTAAAACAACAAAGAACTGGTTTAATTGACATAAACGTTCGTATGTTCTGCGCCCACTCTATCAGGTCATTGAGTCAAGCCTCAGTAGGCAGGTATTTATACACCAGGATGTGTATGGGAGAGGGATCCCCCTCTCACACAGATACTGGATATAGTGACAGATAAGGACTCTGGCGAATAGGGTTCACATCCCCGTTCAACTATGGGAACTCATTGGGGGAGTGGAATTGGTAAAACCACTTCTTAAAAATATCTAATTCACCTTGAAAACCCTATTAAGGTTGCTATAGGTCAATTCTGAGTTGATGGCACAGAAGACACATATGTGCGTATGGGAAGTATTCTGAAAGTGCTAATCCCAAAAAGAAATTTTTAAGCTTTCCTCTTTTTTTGGAAAAGGATATGCAAAAATCAACATATGACAGTGTATGGAATTTCAAAGAAGAATCTTATGATGTTGCTTGCATAACCTGCGTACACATGCCCTCTATCCAGAGTTGGAAAGGGCACCG